TAGCAATGTCATAGCAGGCCGCCACCACTGGGACCCTGTGACACTCCCACTTCCCCGGGCAGCATGACAGGTATCAGCCTGCTCATGTTCTAAGCCTGCTCACCTCCTAGGATTTAAGAAGTCAGGCATGTCCTTGGCTCTGCACTCGCACCAAAGTGGCCCAAGCACTCCACCATCGCAGGGACTTCACTTCTGCAGTGATCCTCTCTCTCGCCCAGACTGTCCATCTTCCCTTACCAGCCCACACCACTGATGAGCAAACATACCTCATACCACCCACCTCAAACCTTACCCTCCCTGTATGCCACCCACCCCAGCACCCTTGTCTTCTCCCTTCCTCATCAAGATCTCAGTAAAGCCTTCACTGTGCTTGCTACCTCTGCTGCCCAGCCCTCACTTTCTCTTCCAGCAACTGAAGTGGGTCTCATCCTCCTAGAACATTCTCAACCACCTACATCTTATCAAAGCCAATAGTCAACCAGCTGCCCTCCTCTCACCCAACACTCTTCCCCAGGCACCCAGGACACACACGCTCTAGTTTTTCTCCTACCTCACCAGCCATCCTTTTTCACATCTCTGGCGAGTTGCCTCTCCTTCATCAACTGTAGAGATGGTCCTCTTCTCTCTCTGACACATAATCTCTCCCTAGACCAGGGGTCCTCAAACTTTTTAAACAGGGGGCCAGTTCACTGTCCCTCAGACCATTAGAGGGTCAGACTGCGGGCCCAGGGACAAGTCGGCTGCTAAGCAGCACAGGCAGCGGCGGCAAAAACAGCCGGCAGGCCGGATAAATGTCCTAGGTGGGCTGCATGTGGCCCGCGGGCCGTAGTTTGAGGACGCCTGTCCTAGACAATCTCACCCCATCTTGCAGCTTCAAATACAATTGTCTAACATACCAGTGGCTCTTGCATTTTTAATCCCATCCCAAGCTTCTGTTCATCCTTCACCTCTCCACGTATACTTGGCCCTCCACCAATGCCATCAGCCCTTGTCATCTTCCTAGGTCCTACCACTCTCAAGCTAATCAAAAGAGGAAGTAGATGGCAGAGAGGTAGGAAAGCTTTAAGCCCAGCACTAATTATAAAAAATAGATTACAACCTTCAGGACAAAGCTAAGGAGGAAAATTTCCTATTTGTTTTCTAGAAAGTTAAGGTTTCTCTTAAAATTCCCAATGATTAAATTAATTTGCTAGAAAGTATGATTTGCAGAGTTTTAATAAAAAAGACTTACCCTAAATAGCAACCCTGCCAAGCTCTGGGCAAACAGGTCCTTTATTTGTTTTTCCTTTGGCTTCTGCATGACGGCTTCTGTTATCCTGAGTAGTATTTGCAACATCTGTTCCCTGGGCCGCCCAAAATAAAAGCTCATATTAATAATCACATCTCCAAAGCACTTTAATTTATAGGTATGAGAAATTCTCTTAAGAATTCAGCAACACTGATAATCATGTATTACTTGAAAGTATTAAAAGTCTGAATGCCGGCTCGGCGCCTATAGCTCAACCGGCTAAGGCGCCAGCCACGTACACCTAAGGTGGTGGGTTTGAATCCCCAGCCCGGACCCGCCAAACAACAATGACGGCTGCAACCAAAAAATAGCCGGGTGTTGTGGCGGGCGCCTGTGGTCCCAGCTACTTGGGAGGCGGAGGCAAGAGACTCGCTTGAGCCCAGGAGTTGGAGGTTGCTGTGAGCTGTGATGCCACAGCACTCTACCCAGGGGGACAGCTTGAGGCTCTGTCTCAAAAAAAAAAAAAAAAAAAAGTCTGAATGCCAATTACATAACGAATCCCACATTTTACATTACAAGGTTTCTAAAACTACACCCTCCATGTCCACTCCATCAGGCAGGATAAAACAGGTAACATCCAGCCTGATTTTCTTGCTTACAAAAAAGGAGGCAAGACTGTTTTCCTCAACTATGCCGGCACCGTAAAGCACTCTGTGAACAGCTATGCCCATCTGAACTGGCACAGCACTCTGCTTTTCCCACCCACTATTTTACTTAACCTGTAGGGTCTCCCCATCTTTGTGATAGAAAATAAAATTAGCTTCCCAGTCTTTCTTCTGGGGATGTAGCAGCCAGTGTCACAGCACGGCCATCCCCACGGTACCCCTGCAGGCAGGAGGGTTTGTGCAAGTGGACACAGAGGCAAGGTGCTCTGTCTGGAGGATCCTGACTCCACACCACAGGGCACAACAGAGACAGGGGCCGTCACTGCATCCTCACTTAGAGGGCAGCATGGATACAGGAGTGTTTTATAAAAGGTCTTTAACAAGCTAAAAACTTTTAGAGACAACATAACACCGCTAATTATGATACGAAATTCTTCAGAATAGTCAAAAGATATTTTTCTCTGTTGCGCTTGAGTTACATTCCTCGTATCAGAGTGTTTCCTTTCCCTGGGTTCCACGGGAACAGAGAAGAGACCGTCCTTTGTACCTAAGGGAAGTCCATTTGTCTCTGAGGGAATCATTCCAGTTCCTTTGAGGACCCATCACCAGCCCTTCACTCATCTTTACAACTCTCTTCTCAGCCCCATTACTCTTTATTAACAAAACCGGGAATGGGACAAAGTAATCTAGTCTGGGTCAGATGATGAGAGAGCTAAGTCACAGTTCTTTTATATTTTCCTGTTATCTCTGCAGATCAGAACAGCCTTTTCTCCTCACAGTACAACCCCTGGGGTTTTCCTCCCTCTCTGGAGATGACCCGGTCTGATCGGGTCTGGGGTGTCAGCTCCCATTCTCACTCCGCTCTATCCCACTTGTTTGCTTTTGCTCATATCCTGTCTCTGGGAAAGTACAGAGACGAAGACCTTCAAGTCACCTTCAAGTCACATGAGAGCTAAGCTTGTCTGCAAGAAACAAGACAGTGACTCTGAAGAGAACTGAGAGATGAACAGGCACTGCGTGGGACAGCCTGTTGCTCAGAACATTCAGGTACCTAAGGAGAGGTCAGGACAATACCCAGCATCCCCCTGTCTGCTCACACTACGTGATAGCCCAGACACTGACTGGCTATCACTGACTATCCCTGGCACACAAGTAATTACAGACCCATCACGAGAACCTGATGCAAACAACAGGCATCTTAAGTCTCGAGGAAACCTTGGTCCTGGGAACTGCTCTCAAAACGTACAAACCTGACCAGATCAATCACTGCCGAGATACAGAGATAATTCAACTTCTGAACCTATAAAAGTTTGGAAAGCCATGGAATCCCCATGTACAGTCTTCTGGAAGAAAATGAGGAAGAAACTGTCTACAATTTGGAAAACTCTTGTCTAACAAAAGAAAGACACACAAACCGTCAACGTGGTCAGTTTTGACAACAGCTTGCTCCTGTCTACTGTGGGAAACACTGACTAGTTCACTGCTCCATCAAGGGACAGCCGCTCAGGGTAAAAGTGCCCATCAGAGCACAGGGAATCGGGCGTGTGGGCCCCCACCCAGAGTGAAAGACCCGTCAGAGTACAGGGAATCGGGCGTGTGGGCCCCCACCCACAGTGAAGGATCCTCAGAGTACAGGGAATTGGGCCTGTGGGCCCCCACCCGGAGTGAAAGACCCTTAGAGTACAGGGAATCGGGCGTGTGGGCCCCACCCACAGTGAAGGACCTGTCAGAGCACAGGGAATAGGGCGTGGGAGCTGCTACCCGGGCACCCAACAGAGGATGAGGCTTTGTTTTCCTTATTCACTTTTCTCCATCTTCTCACACTAGCAATATTTTTACTCACTTACACATCAGTTATTCCCTATCCCAGAACCACTTTTTTTTTTTTATTTATTGTTCGGGATTCATTGAAGCCACAAAGAATTAGGTTATACTGATTACATCTGTTAGGCTGGTGAAGCCCTGGTCTCAGCCATCTTCATCTATGGCCACAGCCCATGTGCTCCACTACTGTACACATTCTCCACAGGAGAATCAGAGGATCACTTGCAATGTACATCATATTACTTTAAGATGATGCACATGTACACTCTTGTATACATGCAGGGAGGTAGCCAGTGTCCTTCCTTTGGCCTGCAGGGCTCTGAGCAACTTGGCCCTGTCCTGTTCCCCGCCGGCACCTTACTATCCTCACTACTCCCTTTCTCACTCCATCTACATCGGCTCTTTGGGCCATCTTCACACCCTTCTCCTATCAGGGTATTGGTACCTGCTGCTCCCTCTCCTGGGAATGCACTTCCCTCAGACCCCTCCAACGCTCAGGGCTCAGCTCAGAAAATCCTTTCCAGACATCTGATGAATGTAACTCTCTTGACTTCCACACCAAGCAATACCCACAATTCACTTAACACTGCCTGAAACAGTTCCATGTTTCTCAGTCTCGTGCAGACGTAAACCTCATGAAGGCAAAGATCTTCTCTACCTAGTCATAACTATTTCCTCATAGTTAGAAGCTATGGAGAAAGGAGAGACGGCAGGAAGAAAGGAGAAAGGGGGGATGGAGGGAAGAAAGGAAGGAAGGGAAGTAGAAAGTGTCTAGTACTTACACGTAAGAAAAACTATTAGGAAAACAAGACACATTCCTTTCCATGCTCTACTGACTTACTTTTTGATGAATATTTGCATCTGTTTCTATGATTTTTCTTTTTTATACGTTTACCTAGAAATCTCTGAATTATTAAAGAGCAGAATTGTTTTATTTCCTAGAATTTTCACCAAAATAAAAAGATTATCAAAATATTACTAATACTGTGATATACAGAATTTACAGCTTCAAAAGAAAAAAATCATAAAAATTGCTACTTGAAGACTATGGCCTTGAGGAGACGTTTCCACTGAAAGCAGACCAGTATTTCTCATTACTTTCAATATTACTAACATAGCATTTCATTTTGCTTAAATCATGTGTTGCATCACTGTATTACTTCCATTTTTAACAACTGCTTCACATGGCAAATAGTGCTATGTTTAAAAGTCTAGGAAAGCTGGAATTTACATCTTAAAATCATTATTTTGATACTTGCATTACAGTTTCTGCATTTGTGAACTTTCTACACACTGAGATCCCTCTGGGTCCACCCTTACCTCAACTCTGAATACAAAGGGGCTGGACGTGGTGGCCTTCAGTCTCTGCCAGCTCAGACCTGCCCCGTTTCTGTGGTCTCCCACCAACTGCAGACAGAATGCAGGTGTGCAAACATGGATACATACCCAGGGGGTTCCCGGGACAGAAAGGTGCCACCAGCCCTGATTTGCAGTGGGCTCATAGACTGAGAACCAAGACAGGAGATCCCCCAGGGGTGCCGACCACATCAGTGAGCCGGAAGGACAACTTATCCGCAGGAGTGCAGTGGCCCACCAGGAGGAAAACGCAACAGACAGGCCTGAGAGGCCTTTGAAAGGCAGGAGTGAGAGGCTGCCTTCTCAGTCATGAAGAGAAACAGGAGTGGAAAGGTGTGCTACTGAGGACCCCTGAAATAGCTCATGAGCCAGAGTGACATGATGACACTCAGGAAAAAATCTAACCCACTGGTTACCTTGAGAGACATTATAAACACAAAAACATTGAAGAAAAACAAAGATAAAAAGGAAAAGCACTTTGTTTCTTTAATGACACCACTATATTTTGACCCTACCATTTAATTAGTCACCTTGATAATTTATCATTTAAAAAAATTATTTTTCCAAAATGAATTTAAAACATCTAGTTTGAAGCAATAAATATCAGCTATAGCGTTTCAGGGCAATTAATAAACTCTCCTGGATTTAGGAAGAATATACTATAAATCACCAGTTACTGGTTTGCCACAAAACTATATTTGATGACAGTGTAAAATGGGAAAAAGAAAAAAATCTACTGTTAAGTAAAATGACTATTGGCTCGGCGCCTGTGGCTCAAGTGGCTAAGGCGCCAGCCACATACACCTAAGGTGGCGGTTCGAATCCCCAGCCCGGACCCGCCAAACAACAATGACGGCTGCAACCAAAAAATGGCCAGGCGTTGTGGTGGGCGCCTGTGGTCCCAGCTACTTGGGAGGCGGAGGCAGGAGACTCGCTTGAGCCCAGGAGTTGGAGGTTGCTGTGAGCTGAGATGCCACGGCACTCTACCCAGGGGGACAGCTTGAGGCTCCGTCTCAAAAAAAAAAAAAAAAAAAAAGTAAAATGACTATTTATCCTTAGTTTAAGAACATCTTTAAAAATAATGAAAATAAGTGAAATTTCAAAGTATTGAGTGCTCATCTACTTCATAATTCACAGAAATTATTATAAAAGACTGATTATCGTTTTATTAACTCTGTAAAACCATTAAATAAATGGAAGCTTTACCATTTTAATTATGTTGAAAAACAGAAACACTTGTCTTACAATATTAAATAACTGATGCAAACTTACCATGTCTTTTTATTCATTGTAAGATCCATTATCATGCGCCTAAAAATAATCAAAACAGCTTTACAAGCATCAACTTGTTCTTTCAAGAGCACAGGAACTTCAGCACATGGTTCCAACAAAAAGACATTCGCAGAGTTCGTCAAAAATACCTTAGAATCAACAATTTTACATTAGAAAATATAATTAGACATATGTATCTTAATACATTTTGCTTAATGATATTAATTTCACTCTATGAGTGAATCATCTTTGAGTTATTTCCAGACAGATTTTGATTCAATGAGGCAAATGTTTCAAACACATATTCAAATATATATATTTTGTAGTTTTTGGCTGGGGCCGGGCTTGAACCCACCACTTCTGGTATTTGAGCCATAGGCACCACCCATATTCAAAATATTTTAATTTACCCCTTAGAATCACTTAAATATTGAGACACCTAATGGCACCTTACTGTTACATATTGATGTGGCAACTATAGCCACATTTTGAGTCAGAGAAGCTTCTCAAGACTTCTTTTTGACATTCCCTCAACAAAAAAAGGAACTGAAGGAAAAAGAAGATCACTGTGTTTGGGTAGAAACTGTGAGGGGAGAAAAGGAAGGAAAAGAGGATATATGGCCAGATATTGACAAGACAGAACCATGTGATTCTTAGAGCACTTCCCAGCACATAACACTAAGCTCACAAAAGCATCCCTGCCAACAAGCTGAGAACCACCAGGAGCCCTGGTGTGATCTTAAACACACGAGGCCACAGGATCAAGACCACAGCTCCCAAGAGTATATTGTTTTAAATATTAGATCTATATTATGCAGTAGAATAGAACATCTAAATAAATTCTAAAGATAAAAACTGGGCTTTCCAAAAATTTAGATACTCAGCTATTTTATCCAAATATATCTTGTATCTTGAACTTTTAAGATACAAGTTCTCTATTTTTTACCATCAAGGTTATCTCAGGAGAAAAATGTGAGACGCACCAATCCAGGCTACTGCTTAGAGTAACAACAATGAAACACCCACGATGTGCCACCGTTCTGCAGAGGGCACTAGTGCCTCACCAACTTCAGATCTTGGTTCCCGGACCGGCTCTATCTACCCAGAGGTATGTTTCCTATTAGGTCTCCTTTGTTTTAGCACAAACTCAAAGGATTTGGGAACAAACCCTCTCTGGCTCATTTGTGGATAAAATCCATTTACACAATGTCTCAAAATAAATGCACAATCTAACCAAATTAAAATCAACATATTCAAAAGTCGGTGGGTGAACTAAAATGTTGATAGCCTCTAAAGTTATCTTACGCAAGATTAAAAAGATATCATGTCCAATTTTCTGCAAAGAATCACTAAATACGTACTGTTTTACGTATTTTAATAGTTGATAACAGGTGATAACATCGATCATGAAGAATTTACTAGCCTTCATGTAAGAAAAAAGAGACTCTTTTTGACTGACTATACCATTTTTAGTGTAGTTTTTTTAACTATGTTTTTTAAATTACACATGATATCTCACACTTTATATCTACCTTTTAATTGAATGCATTTGGCTTCTTGAATATGAATTCAAAACTTCCCAAGTAAGGAGTTTTCACCTATTATGCTTTTTCTAAAACATCAAAATGCCACCTGAATATTTCTTTAGTGTCTTGGTATCAGTTAAGATGAAAATAAACAAGATCAATACGTGATCTGACAATGAAGTTTGCAAACTTGTCCCAGAGAAAGTGCTACATACCTCACTGCTGAATATTACTATGGTCACCTCTGAAGTGCTCCCCTTGGCCATCTGGTGACTGTCTGACAACAGCTCTGATGGCCATTCTAGAAAAGGTGGACAAGACTCTGGCGCCAGTACACCAGTACAACTTCCCACAGGGAGCACCCTGAAGGTGGCTATGATGATATTCAGCCACGAGGCGTGTAGCACTTTTTCCGGGAAGTTCATGAACCGAACTGTCAGACCTTGTATGTTCAATCTATACTTGACAAAAGCAACTACCGCCTTGTCAAATCACCATTTGGCCACGTTTTCCTACTGAACAAAGTAAAGATATTTAAATCCAAACTAAATACTTTTTAAAATCGTACAGCAGAGCTGTAATCAAGTAGAAAATTTTTCCTTGGTTCATCCTAGGATACTAAGTCCTCACTTAACATCCAACCTTGGGCAGTGCCTGTGGCTCAAAGGAGTAGGGCAGTGGCCCCATATGACAGAGGTGGCAGGTTCAAACCCAGCCCCGGCCAAAAACTGCGAAAAAAAAAAAAAAATCCAACCTTTTTGGAAACTAATAGGAGCTTCTCAAGTAAAATTGTTTTGTTCAACATCATTTCTTTATAATATTGATGAGAAAAAAACAAGGGTTTGATGAAATGATTTCTTTTTTCTTCTGGGTAGTAGTGAGACTGTGGGGTCAAATAGGAGATCTGAGTTCTTTGAAGATTCTCCATACTTCTTTCCAAAGTTAGTTACATACGCACTAGATGGTTTATTACAACTCAATTTACAATCACCACGACGTGAAAACAACAAAAATGCCCATCAATCCAAGAATGGATTATGTGGTATACGCATAGCATGGAATACATTCAGCCACAAAAAAGGTGGTGACTTACATCTTTTGTATTCACCTGGACGGAGAGGAAACACATTCTCCTCAGTAAAGTATCACAAGAATGGAAAAGCAAATATCCCGTGCACTCAATACTAATATGAAGCCAGCAGACAATCTAATTGATGCCCACATAGGAGAAAAACTCATTTCCATTCAAGCTGGGAAGAGGGAGAATGGGGAGGGGGTGGGGTGCTCCCTCTAAATAGGCATAATGTATGGGCACCTTTTGGGGTACAGGACATAGCTACAAGAAGGTCTCTACCTAACCAATTCAAATATTGTGGTTTGGTTGTTTATACCCTCACATTAACCTGAAACTCAAAAACAAGAAAAAAAGAAAAAACAATGGATTGTTACATGTCACTTCACTTAAAAGAGCTCATCAACAACACCCCCTGAGGACGTGTTATAGATGTAACCTATTCCTTCAGAAAACAGAAACACTCTCCTGCACCCAGGGAGGTCACTGCAACCCCACAGGTGGAGGAGAGCAATCCACTGGGAGGAGAGAGCTACCGGAACAAAGGCAAGGCCTCCTGCATGTGTCTCTGACAGGAACTGCACCAAAGTTCTCTGAAGCTGCACAAATAAAATCATCTTGATTCTGTTAACTTCAGAATTATTTTCTGATTTTCACTGAAAACTGAGAAAATTCATGAGTATAGTAAACTGCTAATTAGCTTAAAAACAAGGATGACATGATAATGAATACTACCAAGAGACAGACGACAGAGAAACCACATCCCTGAAAACTGGGGAACACACGTGCCATTCCCACGCTCTCCCCGACTTCACCGCTGGCCTCACATGGGAAGTCTCACTGGACATAGCTACAAACTTGAGTGAGGATTCAGGGTGGGGGGCAGGGCAGCAGGGGAATGAGAGGCACCCCAAGTTTCACTACATTCCTAACAACCTTCCTTGAGATAATCTCTCCCTCCTCATTTTGTAGATAAAATCCTGAGCTCTGGGGACTGTTTCAGTGTTCCCAAATGATGTCGGTTCTTTTTCATATATTCATGTATTCAAATATCTGAAAACTACCACTTCAGTCATCATTCTTCATAAAGACTGTCACTCTTAAGAGGAATATCACTTATGAGATTATATAATCACCAAGCTTGTCTTACATATTAGAGTCCAGACAACTACCCATGTGTCTGGAAGATATTTTTAAGATTTAAATCTGTCATTCCACATTCACTGAATAATAATCCCCCTCAAAAATTATAACCAGTTTACACTTTCTTCAACTAGAAAAAAAATCTTTATAAATTACAGGTGTGAAAAAGAAAAAAACACAGAACAAGAATTTAAGAGCTGTTTACTGACAGATAGCTAAAAATATCCCCATACTTGATCTGACATTATCCCAAATAAACAAAACGTTTAAAATCACTACGTCTAGGAGGGTGTCTGCACTGGGTGCCTCACCAGCCCCGTACCTGCAGCAGAGCCTGGGCCCCGGCTTTCACATTGGTATTGTCCTCCTCTGTCACACACCCTCTACTCATCGCACTTGTGAAAGAGTACGTGCGTCCCCAGCTGGAAGATCGCTTATGACCGGAACTTTCAGATGAGACCTTCAGAAAATAACGATCCATTAACAAAGCAGGAAGATGAATACATGTGTATAGTTAATTCCTTATACTCACCAGGACTCACAAAAAATCAGTTTTAGAAGGACAAATATTTTCCCTATTTCCTCAGCACTCTAATTTGAGCACCTAAAATAGTCCTCAGCACTTAGTATACGCAGAGAGAATAAGTCAGGCTTGTTTAATGACTGAGAAGACATGGGCCATAAGTCTGAAAATGAATGACAAACGCCATCTGCTCACCTCCGCACTATGACCTCGTGATTGTTATTAAAATGATTTCACCAATATCGAAAAATGAAAATTATAGCATCAATAAAGAAATTTAGAAGTGTCATGCCCCTCGTGGAGAATTTTAAACACTATAAATTAATTTCAGAACAGTATGACAGAAATATAAGTATAACTAAGTTTCTTATCCGCTCTGCTTTAGATTTGCCTAGCATGCACAGTGCCCTCTCCCGGAAGACAGCACCCGGCACTCCAGTGAGGCTTACAGTGGAGCCCACACCTGCCATTTGGTTAGTCCTCCCACATGGGTAACGTCCTATATACTTCTCGTACAGTCCATTGCAAAGAAAAGTCTGCTAAAACATTTTAAATTTAGTTTCTCCAAATTTTATTCAAAGAAGTCAAGAAAAGAGCAGTGATACCTTTTAGTATTACACAAAGATGTGTAAAATATGATGGCTTATAAAACACTTCCCCTGCAGCAGTGACTAACAAAGCTGCAATGCTCATTCAACCCCAGCCAGGGTGTTAGGACATGACTGCCAATCTAGTTTAGATCAGAGAAGCTGGCCTCTAAGGCTAGTAGGTCCTCACAGAGCTCAGCAACCGGAGAGCATCAGACAGGATAAAAAACAGATACACCCCCTGTGTCCACTGACTGGGATCTCTGCTGAGCAAGTGTGCTTTACTAAAATACTTACAGTCCCACTCAAAAGACAAGTAATAAAATTACCTCCTTGCTATCAGTCTCTGAAAATCCTAATTTTTCAGCATCTTCTTGGGCAACATCTTTTTTATCTGGTTCCTCCATGAAGACAGGTTTGTCCTGGAGGATCCACTTTCTGTACACTTGAACAACTTTTCTTGTTACAGCTATCTCACAGGAAGGTAACAAAAATGCCTGAAAGGAAGGGAAAACTGCCCTTAATTACTTGCAAACACAGATTACTAGAAAGCTGCATAATAGACATTTCCAAGGCCCATCACCCATTTCAGACCTTCCTAGGAAACATACAGATGAAGAATATACTATATTGTGCACATATCTTTGGGCAACCAAACTTATCTGTGGAAAAAAAGATATTTTCAGGCTCCCATAACTGAGCCTGAAATCATAATGGCAGTTTAAAAATAACATTTGTATTCTGAATAATTTTCCCACCAAAAAAGAATCATAACTCTATAAATATTTTAATTTACTATACAATTTTAATTGTATAACTTGAAGCTTTTACCAACAAATAAGAAATACATTATAAGAAAATAAACATACTAGTACCACCAGTGATGGCCAATGCCTACCTTTTCTCAATTCCATGTTCAGTGACCTCATGTTGGGGGCTTGAATTGGCCATGGTGGGAATACTTACACCACAGAAGTTGGCAAATACTACAAATCAGGATGTTGTTTTACAGGGTTTTTTGTTCTGTTCTGTTTTGGGTTTTGTGAGAGTCAATTTTTCAACATTTATCAGGACACCCCTGAGTATTGCCAATATTAACTAACTAGAGTCACTGGCAATTTGTGCATACTTACGAGAACTTTTTAATCCATTTTATTTTTGATGCGCTTCAAAGTCAGCTGCAGACATCTGCATATTTCTTTATAAACACTTCAGAATGTATTTTAGTGACTTACGAGTCCAAAATTTGTTTATGAGTCTTTATTTAGGTAAAATTTACTACTAATAAAATGTACAAATTTTAAGGGGACCACTGGGTAAGTTTTGACAAATGTACACACTATGTAAATCCAAACCCAATATCAAAGTATAGCACATTATCCTCCTCCCAGAAAGCAAATAGCTCCTCTTTAGAGAAATATATAGCCACAGTAAAACAAAAATTATGCCTATAAAAAGTCTGGTTAGCATTTCAACCTCAAAGCCTAGAAGCAAAGAAGATTAAACAGAAGGATGAAGTTGGAGAAGTAGGGGAAAGAAACCAAGAACACGAAACCACACAAGGAGAAACCAACCAAAAAAAAAAACACTGGCAACATGAAGAATCAGAACACACCAGTTACTCCAATGGACTGCATGGCAGCTACTTTTGAATGTCCTAATTATAGAGAAATTGTGGAAATGACAGATGGTTTTCAGAGTATGGATGGCAAAAACAATGAAGAGAATTGAAGGAAAAGTAGAAAATCAACAAAAGGAAATTCAAAAAGTGACCCAAGAATTTAACGAAAAACAAAACAAAGTCTCCAAGGATCTGGACAAAATTAGAAAGGATATAATGGAGTTCAAAGAAATAAGTCATTTGGGAGTTTCAAAACATAACGAAGTTTCAACAACAGATTAAACCACAGAGAAAAAAGGATCTCAGAGCTTAAAGACTCTTGAATTTACCCGGTCTCTTAAAAAGGCAGAAAAGAAGAGAATAAATAAATATTACTCTATTTAAATATTACATTTCACTCTAATACTACTTACTATATGTTCTTCTCATCAGCTCATGGATCATTCTCCATTTCTCATTCTCTAAGAGCAGAATATCCTCTTAGAGAATTATGACACTGCATGAAGGGTACAAACGTACAAATTATAGGTATCCTTGAAGAAGAAGAAGAGAATCCCAATGGCATGGAAGCTCTAGTTGATATCATAACCAAAAATTACCCACACAACACCCAGGATTCAGACATTCACTTACTAGATGGATATCCAATCCCAAGCCAACTCAATTCAAACAGAGCATCTCCTAGACACATAGATGTTGCTTATGACTGGTCACTTTCAGGGTCAGACCCATCAGAGTGACGTTTCACTTCTCAGCTGAAACTTCACAAGCCAGAAGGGAATGGGCTCCCACCTTGAATCTTCTCAAATAAAACAACCCCCAGCCTAGGATTTTGTATCCCAGAAAACTAACTTTCATATTCAATTGCAAAACCAATCTTTTATTGACAAGCAAAAATTAAAGAAATTTGCCATTACAAGAACAGCTCTGCAAGAAGTGTTCAAACCAGTACTTTATGCAGACCGACACAACAAACCACCAGTAGACACCTGGAAACTAAAGGACAAAGCTGAGCTCCCGTAGTGGCTCAGCCAGTCTGAATCAATTCTCTCAATAACATGAACACCACGAATTCCCCACTAAAGAGACAGAGGCTGGCTGACTGTATAAAAAAGTACAAGTCAAGTATATGCTGTCTTCAGGAAACACATCTAACCTCCAAGGACAAAACAAGACTAAGGGTGAAGGGTTAGAAAACAATAATTTGGCAAATCTAAATCAGAAGAAAATGGGAGTCGCAATCCTATTTGCGAATACAATAGGCTTTAAAGCAACAAAAGAAAGACACAGATGGGCCCTGTATACTAATCAAGGGAAAAATACAACAAGAAGACATTTCATCCTACATATTTACATATCCAACTTAAATGCTCCTAGATGCTTACTTGGTCAATACTGAAAAAGGCTAGGGACTCCAACACCCCACTGACAGAAACGGACAGATCCTCCAAGCAGAAACTAGAAATGATGGACTTAAACATGACTCTAGAACAAATGGGTTTAACAGACACATACAGAACATTTCACTCTAATCCTACTTACTATAAGTTCTTCTCATCAGCTCATGGATCATTCTCCAAAACTGACCACATCCTAGGACACAAATCAAACCTCAACAAATTTAAAAGAACAGAAATTATACCTTGTACTTTTATGGCCCACAACGGAATAAAAGGAGAACTCAATTCCAACAGAAACCCTCATCCCCACACGAAGTCACGAAACTAAACAACCTTTTACTGAACGGAAATTGGGTCAAAGAGGAGATAAAGAAGGAAATCATTCAATTCCTCAAACAAATGACAATGAAGCATAAGCTAAACCTGTAGGATATTGCAAAAACAGTCCTGAGAGGGAAATTTATGGCATAAAACACCCAGAAAACAGAAAGAACAAAAAAATCAACAATCTAATGAAACATCTCAAGGAACAGGAAAAGGAAAAGCAATCCAATTTTAAATGTAGCAGAAGAAAAGAAATAACCAAAATTAGATCAGAACTAAACGAAATCAAGAACAAAAGAACCAAGTGGTGCCTGTGGCTCAAAGGAGTAGGGCACCGGCCCCATATGCCGAAGGTGGCGGGTTCAAACCCAGCCCTGGCCAAAAAAAAAAAAAATCAGGTAAGAACAAAAGAACCATTCAGAAGATTACTGAGACAAAAAGTTGGTTCTTTGAAATGAACCAATACCTGGAATCACACTACCTCCTTAGATTTAAACAGGAAGAAACAGACCCATATCAAGCACCAAAACTGAAACAATAAAAAAGCTTCCAACCAAAAATAAATTCTGGACCAGATGGTTTTATACCAGAATTCTACCAAAGCTTCAAAGAACTCGTTCCTATACTGCAGAACCTATTCCAAAACACAGAGAAGGAAGAAACCTTCCCGCAACTCCTACTATGAAGCAAATATCACCCTGATACCAAACCCAGGAAGGGACTCAACAACAAGAACAAGAAATTACAGACCGATATCATTAATGAATACTGAGTAAAAATCCTAGCAAATATAACTAAGTTACAAATCAAAAAATAATACATGATATGACCAGGTGGGCTTAATCCCAGAGATTCAAGGCTGGTTCAACATACACAAATTCATAAATGTTATTCACCACATAAAAAGAAGCAAAATAAAGATCATATGTTCCTCTCAACAGATGAAGAAAAAGCATTTGACAAAATTTAGCTCCTTTTGTGATAAGAATACTTAGGAAAATAGGTATAGGGCGGGAGCAATAGCTCACACCAGTAATCCTAGTACTCTGGGAGGCCAAGGCAGGTGGATTGCTTGAGCCAGGAGTTCAAGACTAGCCCAAGCCAAAGTAAGCCTCTGTCTCTAAAAATAGCCAGGTGTTGTGGCAGGTGCCTGTAGTCCCAAGCTACTCAGGAGGCTGAGGCAACAGTATCACTTGAGCCCAAGAGTTTGAGGTTGCTATGAGCTATGATGCCATGGCATTCTATCTACTGAGGCTAACAAAGTGATTTTCTGTCTCAAAAGAAAAAAAAAAGAAAGAAAAGAAAATAGATATAGATGGTACATATTTTAAACTTATAAAAGATTTTCTGTCTGGGGGCTGCGCCTGTGGCTCAAAGGAGTAGGGCACTGGCCCCATATGCCAAAGGTAGTGGGTTCAAACCCAGCCCTGGCCAAAAACTGCAAAAAAAAAAAAAAAAAATGATTTTCTGTCTGGAAAAAAAAAAAAAAGAAAGAAAATAGGTATAGACAGTACATATTTTAAACTGTCATTCATAGAAGCCATCTATGACAAACTCACAACAAATGTCATACTGAACAGAGAAAAACGGAAAGCATTTCTGCTTAAAACTGGAATCAGATGAAAATGTCTACAATTGCCACTACTAGTCAACATAGTGCTGTAAGGCCAAGTCAGTGCAGTCAGGAAAGAGAAGGATTTCAAGGATATCCAAATAAGGAAAGAAGTCAAATTTTCTCTCTTTGCTGATGATAATGATCTTTTTTTTTTTTTTTTTTTTTTTGCAGTTTTGTCCGGGGCTGGGTTTGAACCCGCCACCTCCAGCATATGGGGCTGGCGCCCTACTCCTTTAAGCCACAACACCACCCTGATATGATCTTAAACTTAGAAAATCCCAAGGACTCAACCACAAGACTCCTGGAAGTGATCAAGAAATACAGTAATGTCTTGGTATATAAAAAAATCAATGTTCACAACTCAGTGTCCTTCATATACGCCAACAACAACAGTCAAGCTGAGAATCAAATCAAAGTCACACTACACTTCACAGTAGCTTCAAAAAAATGATATACCTTGGAATGTACTTAGCAAAGCATATGAGGACTCTACAGAAGGAACTATGAAAACTCTGAGAAAAGATACAGCAGAAGATG